AAACCATTTCAGGTGACTACCTCTTGAAGCTCATGGAGAGAATGCCAAGAGTGTGCAAAGCAGTAATCAGAGCAAAGGGTGGCTATTTTGAAGAAACTAGAATATAAAACATGTTTTCAGTTATTTCACCTTTTTTTGTTAAGTACATAACTCCACATGTGTTCATTCATAGTTTTGATGCCTTCAGTGAGAATCTACAATGTAAATAGTCATGAAAATAAAGAAAACACATTGAATGAGAAGGTGTGTCCAAACTTTTGGCCTGTACTGTATATATATATATATATATATATATGTATATACATAATTCTTGATTCTTCAGCCAACATCCAAAGTTTTCAAATGCCACAGCTTTGTCAGTGAACGTCCATGTATGATACCAATGCAGAGAAGCATGTTTCCAAAGTCACCATAGGGTGGGTGGGGAGGTGGGTGGGTCAAACAAACACTGGACTTTCACTTAGAAGACTGTTCTAAGTTTTCTGAGTGAAACCAAAAGTCAATGGAGCTATCTTCAAAACAATGTAGTTTTCTTGTTTGTGTGTCAAATTTGTCACGTGATGTTATATCATGTTAGTAACAACAGTACTTATCTTACACCAAGCCATAATGATTTTATATAAACCTAACCATGTGCTGTTGTTGCCCAAACTAAATGACCGTGTGTGTGTGTGTGTGTGTGTGTGTGTGTGTTGGTATATGAGGACATTTCACTAGTATTTGCACTGACCTTATGAGGACATCAGTGACTTATGAGGACAGTGCCCATGTCTTCACAAGTCAAACAATATAGAAGCATTTAGAAAGTCGTAACTAACTCAAATCTGCATTTTCTTGGTATGTCCCCATAAGTGCGTTACACCTGACTTTTTGCATATCTGTGCGTGCTCAGTGTTTATAATCTCCCTCTAGTGCCGGCACCAAGTATTACAGTTGCATACACATTTGTGTATGAATAAGCGCTGCTGTTATGCTGAACACATCCCTGTCAATCAGGGAGACAAGTGATTGGCTGCTTCTGAAGCCAATCAGAGAGGCCCTGATCGCTGATTGGTTGTTCAGTTTTCATCTTGTTTGCATCACATTTAGAGTAAATGTCGGATGGCACAGTGGCGGCTGGAAAACTAACTGGAATCATCATGAGTTATCAGTAATGCCCAGATAAACGAATGTGTGTGTGTGTGTGTGTGTGTGTGTGTGTAATGTCCAGATAAACCAGTGTGGTCCTAATAAACAAGAGTTGTGCTATGTTTGTGTGTATGTATGGCTAGTGTCCAGATAAACAAGTGTGGTCCTCATAGCCAAGGGTCTTGCTAAGTTGTGTGTGTGTGTGTGTATGGCTAATGTCCAGATAAACCAGTGTGGTCTTCATAGTCACGGGTCTTGCTATGTTTGTGTGTGTGTGTGTGTGTGTGTGTGTGTGTGTGTATGAGTAATATCCAGATAAACCAGTATGGTCCTCATAAACAAGGGTCTTGCTATGTTTTGTGTGTGTGTGTGTGTGTGTGTGTGTGTGTGTGTGTGTGTGTGTGTGCATGCGTTATGTCCAGATAAACCAGTGTGGTCCTCATAAACAAGGGTTTTGCTAAATTTGTGTGTGTGTATGGGTAATGTCCAGTTAAACCAGGGGTGTCCTCATAAGTCATCCCTATGTAAGGTAACGCCCACTCCCAGCCTGTCCCCACAGTCCTTTGAAATGTCAGGTCTTCATATCTCCAAAAGAAGGAAAAAAACAGTCAAGGTTTTTTCTGTCTCTCTAGGACAAGGACAAGTTAGTTAAGAACAGGAATGCATACAATTTCATTGTACTTGTACAAATACAATAAAGATTCTGAAACAGGTGTCCCCATAAACCACCCTTTTGTCCAGTACCAAAAATGACCTAATAAAATGACCTGTGTGTGTGTGTGTGTGTGTGTGTGTGTGTGTGTGTAAAAGAGAGAAAAAGATAGCTACCAACCTGATGGTTCTGGAAGATCTGCAGCTGATTTGGGAAGTTCCTCTGTCCCAGGTTCCTCCTCTGGTTCTGGAAGACCAGAAAAGACAGTTTGACAAACCAGTGAGCAGTGATGAAAGAAGAATTCTGATCTTTTACTGACTCCTCATTTTTGTTAACTATGAAGCTGTTAGCTTATGACTGTAGCTTCATATTTAGCTTACAGGTGTTACTGAATTCAAACTTCTCATTGATCTCAGCAAAGATACAAATATGAGCTTATTCATGAAAATGTTGAACTATTCCTTTCAGTAAAAGTAACAAAATCAACAAATCCTCAATTAGAAGTAAAGTTCTGCATCAAATTTGTATTGTAGTAAAAGTACAGAAGTATTATCTGCAACATGTACATGAAATATTAAATGTAGTATATAAGTATTCCAAAAGTTATCCAAAGTATTTAGATTACTTTGATTACTTTGAGTAATCTAATGGAATAAGTTGCAAATTACAATTCAGGGCATGTATTCAGTAATCTGTAGTGGAATACATTTCAAATTCTACAGCCTATATATACACTGAACAAAAATATAAACTCAAAACTTTTGTTTTTGCTCCCATTTTTCATGAGCTGAACTCAAAGATCTAAAACATTTTCTATGCACACAAAAGACCATTTCCCTCAAATATTGTTCACAAATCTGTCTAAATCTGTGTTAGTGAGCACTTCTCCTTTGCCGAGATAATCCATCCCACCTCACAGGTGTGGCATATCAAGATGCTGATTAGACAGCATGATTATTGCACAGGTGTGCCTTAGGCTGGCCACAATAAAAGGCCACTCTGAAATGTTCAGTTTTATCACACAGCACAATGCCACAGATGTCGCAGGTTTTGAGGGAGCGTGCAATTGGCATGCTGACTGCAGGAATGTCCACCAGAGCTGTTGCCCGTGAATTGAAT